ACACACAGACACACACACACACACATCCCTCCACAACAGAGAATCCTTGACCTGGAAGTTCTGAACATGCAAACACTGGGGAGAATGGAAAATTGGAGAATTTCTAGCTAAACTAATGGAAAACAAAACAGTCACTTCAGCCTGGCCCAAGGGACACGTGTTCCCCCTAGTGCTCCGGGTGGGAGCTCCATACACACACACACACACACTGAGCTGCCACAGGGACAGATCCAGCTGGGACAGGGATCCAGAGCTCCTGGACACCTGGATGGGCTTTGCCCACCTTTGGATTGGAGGTTGGGAACACCCCCTGGCACTGTGGGGACGAGCTGTGCTGGGGTGGGCAGCACTGACCCAGCCTGGCACAGCTCCCAGGGGCCCTGGATCCCATTCCCAGCACAGGGACACAGGCTGGGAGCAGGGAGCCAGCCTGTCCCGGCCAGGACACCCCACCTGAGCAGAGCTGTGCTGAGCTGAGGCATCTGTGGAATTCCAGGAGGAGCTCAGCAGCTCTCGGGGTCTCTCCCTGGAGGATCCCTAAGGAGCATGTGAGAAACCAGTTCTCCAAATTGGGATCAAACCCACCTCCCAGTCCTTCCACTCCCAAGGGCTGAGGGTGCAGGGAGGGTCTGGGGTTGGAGACCTCTCACCTGATCCAGGAACAAATCCTTTCCTGCAAAGCTTTCTGGCATGGGGGGGTGGGAGGAAGGAATGATGGAGAAAACAACTTGGGAAAAAGAACAACCACAGAGGCATTTTGGTTGTGGAGAATCAGCATGGAAAAGTCACCTCAGTGCTGCCAACACTGCTTTGGAAGCAGAGGAAATTCCCAGCACCAGCACTGCTGTGAGGGGCTGACTGGGATTCCCAAAGCTCCTTAAAATCCACGAGGGTGGTGGGGCAGGAAGAAGGAATTCCAGCAGGTAGGCCTGGAGCCATCCCACAGCTCACCTGGAGCTCTGCTCCATGGACAACAGCATTCCTGTGGGAAAGGAACTTCTGCCCCCAAACTGAAATCAAGTCAGACACTGGAGTTTGGTCATGGAATCCAAACCTTGGGATTGGTTTAAAGGGGAAACATGGTGCTGGTTTGAAAGTTGTAGGATAAGAAGAAGAGGGATCAAAGGGAAAGGGATTTAGTGGGATGAATCTCCTCTTTCATAATGATACATTTCAGCCAGACAACAGGGCTGGGAACACATCAGGGAGCAGGGAAAGGCAACTCATCCCATCTCCAGGGGCTCTCAGCAGGGAAGGAACCACCTGATTATTCCACAGGGATTTATCCACAGGAGTTTCAAGCTTTGTCTCTGCACAGTACAAACCCCCAATCCCTCCCAGAGCTGCCCCTGGAACGGAAACACAAATACTGCAAAGTGGCAAATAAGAAAAATAAAAGCAATTTTTTTTTCTATTTTTTGGCAACTTTTAAAAAAAAACCAAAAAAAACCAAACCAACCCCCCCAAAAAAACCACTGGGTAAGAACAATGTGGATTGGTCCCTAAATCTAGGAGAAGAGGTTTGGGCACGACATGGCAAGTCAGGATGGATTTGTTTGTCAAGAATTCCATACTAATATCTGGAAAAAAAATAAAACCAACAAAAAAAAACCAGCCCAAAAATAAACCCCTGGTAAAATAGCACTTATTGGTTTTTGCCTGGTTGGACACAGTCACAGAAACTCATCGGAACATCAGGAAACAGAACATCTTTCACTAAAAAGCTTGGCTGGAGATCATCGGCTCTCGTGGTCGGGGTGGGAGGACGGGGAAGCTCGGACTGGAATGCTGCAGGTGCTGCTGGCTGGACTGGGAGCTGCACTGGGCCTGGGCTGGAGGTCTCCTCAGTCCGAGATCTTGGCCATCTGCTGCTCCAGCTTGGCGATGCGCTCGTCCTGGCTGGAGATCGTGTCCTTGATGGACCTCAGCTCCTTCAGAATCTCATCCAACTTGGCTTCGTTCTGCTGCAGGAGAGGACACAGATTGGTTTGGGTTGGGATGGAGATTAGGGATCATCCATCCCCAGCCCCCTGCCCTAGCTAGGGATACCTCCCACCAGAGCAGGTTGCTCCAAGCCATGTCCAGCCTGGCCTTGGACACATCCAGCAGCACCAGTGCACACTTCCAGCACATACTGGAGCAGGATCTGCTCTTTACCAGTGCAGTGACCACAGCAGTGTTCAGTTAATGGTTGGACTGGATGATCTTAGAGGCTTTTCCAACCTCAATAATCCCATGATTCTATGATTCAAGAACCTATTGACTGACAGCTGTCACTCACACACCTCTGTGTGTTACTATGCCTCATCCCTGGGAGTGTTCCAGGCCAGGTTGGATGGGGCTTGGAGCACCCTGGGCTAGTGGAAGATGTTCCTGCCATGGCAGGGGGTGGATGAGATGAGCTTTAAGGTCCTTCCAACCCAAACCATCCCACGATTCCGTGTGTTAGCTACAGCCTCCAACTCCAGACCTGTGCAAGCTCCTCTGAACCTGCAGAGCCTGAAGTTCCTTGTCTGTGTCTTCCACAAAAAGAACAGCACAGGACACCCCAACAATGCACCCTGTGCCTGAGAGTGTTGGGCAAACACTCCTGGAGCTCTGCCAGCCTTGGGGCTGGGACACTTCCCTGGAAGCTCTTCAGTGCCCAAACACCTCTGGGGGGAGAACCTCCTGATATCCACCTAACCCTCCCCTGACACAGCTCCAGCTGTTCCCTGGGACCTCTCACTGGTCCCAGAGCAGAGATCAATGCTGGCCCTCATGAGGAAGTTGTGGACTACTTGCCTGGAACACCACAACCAAGAACCACCCCAACAATGTCACCCAAGCCCTGAGGCACTTGAGCTTTGTTCTGAGTGTTTCTGAAGCCGCAGCACCCTCAGGCCACCACCCCCACCATCTCCTGGACTTTACTCACAGAGTTTGAGGCATCTGCTGCTTTCTTTGGAGCACTTATGAGATCACTTTTCTTGTTGGCTGCAGGCTTGTTGTCCAGTATGTTCTTCTTGACCACCTTGAGGTCCCTGTTCTTGCCTGGAATGTAGCCATGCTTGAGGGAGATGAGCAGGGGATCTGCGTTCTTCCCCTCGAACCACTCCTCTGCCTCCAGAGCTGCTTCTGGCCCTGCTGTGTCAGGGTACAGGTCATCCTGGAAGAGGTCGGACTGCAAACCACAAGAGATGGGCTGGTCAGGGGCTGTGAAGGCAGGAGGTGGCTGCAAAGCTCCCACCCAGGGCAGTGCTCACCTTGCGAGGAACCGTCATGATGATGGGCTCACACTTCCGCTCGTGCAGCTTGAAGAACCTGGCACAGAGAGGAACAGCTGTGACCCAAGGAGAGCCAAAAGGCTGCAGTGGATTGGGAGATGGAGATGGGAGAGGACCAACCCCAAGGAAATGTGGAATTTAGGTTGGAAAAGCCCTCTGAGACCATCGAGTCTCCAAGGCCACCGCTAACCATGTCCCCAAGTGCCACATCCACGTGGCTTTTACATCCCTCCAGGGATGGTGACTCCACCACTGCTCTGGGCAGCCTGTCCTGATGCCTGACCACCCTGTCCACACAGGAATTTTCCCTAATATCCAACCTAAACCTCCCCTGGCACCACTTCAGGCTGATTCCTCTCATCCCATTGCTTGTTACCTGGGAGAAGCCACTGAGCATATTCCCTGCCAGCAGTGACAGAGAACCATGGATGCCCCAACCCTGGCAGTGTCCATTCCAGCTTGGAAAAAGCCTTGAGCAACCTGCTCTGGTGGGAAGTGTCCCTGCTCAGGGCAGGGGGTGGGGCTGGAGGATCTCTCAGCTCCAGCCCCCCCTTAACACACTACAATAGAATCATCAAGGCTGGAAGAGAACTTTAAGATCATCAGGTCCTTAACCCATCACTGCTGGAACCCCTAAACCATCTCTTCCAGCACCAGGTAATGCTCCCTACAGGAGCCACTGCAGTGACAGATCTGCTCTCCCAGCAGATTCCTGCCCTTCCCACGTTCTCTGGATCGTGGTTGCTCCCTGCTCTGCTGCTTGAACTCCTCCCAGATTCCCAAACCAGCTTCCATCCTGCTTGCTGTGGAGGTGCTGGTGGCAGTGTGGGCCCCTGAGCCCTCCTCACCTGGCAATCTCACACTTGTTGACATCAAGGCCCCTCTTTGGCATGAACCCCATCCCCCTCTGTGGCTCTTTGCTGCTGAAGGTGTTGAGGTAGTGAACGTAAGGGGATTCATCCGTGATCTCGAAGTAGCGAATGCTGCTGTCACCCTGCAAGAAACAGGAGATCACTGCAGGACCAGCACTCCCCAGGCAGAAAAGGCTTCAGGCAGAAAAGGCTGTAAAGCAGTTTGTCCTTAATTCCAGGCAGTTCTACCACACCAGAGTCTCTGAAGCAGCAGGAGAGGTGCAGATATAAACCAAACATTCCTCATCAGATGGGATTGTTCTCGTGCAGCTCTTCTAATTCCTTGTTCACCTTGTCTTTGGCTCCTGTTTGCAGGAAGTCCATCACAAGTGGGAACTTTAGGGCACTCCATGCCTACAAATTGCTTGTGGAAAGAACCACCTGATTCCAATTCTCTTTTACTTGACCCCAAAATGACAGTTGAGTGTTGCTACATGTTCCATCACCTTCGAGCACAAGGTGGAGAACACCTAAAATGCACCTTCCTCCTACTCCAACACACAATGATCCAGGGCAACACCACCAAGAGGTGTTGTGGTAATGGTATGGGACTTGTTGCATTAAGAGCAGCTTTACCTAAGTAAATCCATCCCAAAGAAACACCCAGGGACACTCCAGACCTTCCTAGGTCCTGCAGAGTGAGGGTCAAACCCACCCCCAGGTCCTGCAGAGTGAGGGTCAAACCCATCCCAGAGCATTCCTGGTCTCTCTGCAGTGCTGATGTTTTGGTTCTCCACTTGGGGAACATCTCACAGGCATGGATCACTCCACAGGGACCCCAGAACTTACACCTCCCAGAGCTCCCCTTACCTTGCCACACAGGTAAATGATGTTGGTGTCTGGGTCGTAGAAGGGCAGCAGGACCCCATTGCTGGTGTCCATCTCGTGAAGGGCTATTGGCTCCTCCATGTTTTTCTGGAAATAAAGAATGCCAGGGATGTTAGTGAAGCTTGGAAAAGCTCCTGGTAACAGAAGGAGGACCTAAATTATTAAGAACTCTCAGCAGTGTCTGCACCACCCAGGAAGATCCATGTGTTACAACAACAAATGTTGGGAATGTTCACGAGTTGAGTCATTCCCCAAGGGAATTTTAATCACTAAATGAAATAAAACCAGGGGCCAAGAAAATTCACAAAGTCAAGGGAAAGATGTGACATGGCTGTGTTAGTGTCTGTGTGATGGGATGTGTGATGGATGATGGGATGGAGTCTCCTGGACATAGTCCAGGTGGTCCCTTCCAACCTGAAGCCTCCTGGGATTGTTCTGTGCTGCTCTGCACATAGAGTGTACAGAGTGAAGTGACCTTCCCACAGCTCCTCTGCTCTCCTAGGGGAGATTCCCAGGCACTTCCAGCCTGTAGCTCCCAGGGCTGCTCAAGAGAACTCTGTTCCTTTACTGACTGACCATCCAGCCTAAACCATGGAACACCTTCTGGCATGGGAAGGGATGGAAGAGGGAATAGCCTCAAGTATTGAAACTATGAATTCAGGAAGAAATTGTTCCCTGTGAGGGTGCTGAGGTGCTAGAACAGGTTGCCTGGAGAGGTTGTGGACTCCCCATCCCTGGGAGTGTTCCAGGCCAGGTTGGATGGAGCTTGGAGCAACCTGGGCTAGTGGAAGATGTCCCTGCCCATGGCAGAGGGTGGGGAAGATGATCTTTAAGGTCCTTCCAACCCCAAGCACTCCATGATTCCATGATTCCAAGACTGCAGGGCTGGGTGCCAGGAGCCCAGCAGGGCTGGGCCGGGACTCACCGGGTTCCACAGGGCCAACTGCCGCTCGCTCATGCGGCTGAAGCCGGTGGTGAAGATGTTGCCATCAGCCAGGAAGATGGCTCTCATGGGCCGTGCTCCCTCGTGGGTCTTCTCCTTCTCCTGCAAGAGATCAGCTGCTCAACCTCTAGCAATGTACAGAGAAACCCACGGGGTGGTGGTGGAACCTCTCCCAGCGGCACAGTCACCGCAGGATGCTGATCCAAGGAGCAACATCTTTCCCTGATGCTTGAGGGAAGAAATCAAGAACTGAACCCCAGGGGAAGAGGTCATTCCTGGCTCATTCCAGCTTTGCTATCAGCCTCCTGCATGGTTGAAGGGACTCTTTGCAAGCTCCAGCACATGCTGGAGCTGCTTTGCACACACAGCTCTGCAGCTGTAATTATACCAAAGGATTAGATGTGGAATTATACTCCTGCAGGTTTTCAAACTGAGCCCTAAAATCCTGGTTCAAACACTAATCCCAGTAAACCCAGACAAATCCTTCAACCTCTGCTATTCCTTCTGTGATTTCTTTCTCACTTTGCAAACCATGACTGAACGTGGTGTGAAAATACTGAGCCAGGAGGTTCTTTCTCTATATTCTCTTGCTAAGTCTGTGCTGGGATGAGACCCAGAATCAGCCCAGAAGCAACTGAATCCTGGGCTGCATCCCAAGGAGTGTGGCCACAGGTCGAGGGAGATGATTCTCCCCCTCTACTCTGCTCAGGCCCCACCTGGAGTGCTGCACACAGTTCTGCTGTCCCCAACATCAGAAGGACATGGAACTGTTGGAGCAAAGCCAGAGGAGGCCACAGAGCTGAGAAGAGGACTGGAGCATCTCCCCTATGAGAAAGCTGGGACTGTTCAGCCTGGAGAAGAGAAGGTTGTGTGGAGACCTCAGAGCAACCTGCCAGGAGCTGAAGGGGCTCCAGGGAAGCTGCAGAGGGATCTGTGATAGGAGCTGCAGGGACAGGACAAAGGGCAATGGGTACAAACTGAAGGAGGGGAAGTTAAGGTTAGAGATCAGGAAAAAGTTTTCCCTGTGAGGGTGGTGAGTCACTGGCACAGGGTGCCCAGGGAGGCTGTGGCTGCCCCAACCCTGGCAGTGTTTCATTCCATCTTGGAAAAAGCCTTGAGCAACCTGCTCTGGTGGGAGGTGTCCCTGCCCAGGGCAGGAGTTGGGACTGGATGGGCTCTAAACTCCATCCCAACCCCTGAACACTCTGAATCTCTGAGTCTTTACTGATCACCCAAACTTACAGCAACAATCTCTTGTTTCCTGGGGTCGATGACCCGAACCTTCTTGTCCTTGGAGGCTGTGCAGATGAGGCTGCCGTTGCGGTTCCAGCTCACGTTGTAAATCATGTCCACGTGCATGTCATCCAGGTTGATCAGGGCCTCACCTGTTCCCACGTTCCAGATGATGATGGCATTGTCACAGCCTAAAATGGAAAACCACAGCTCAAGTCACAGCACTGGTGTGGACAGAAAAAAAGCCAGACTTGGAGAAGCTGCAGCTTCAAAGGTTTTTGGGGCAATCAAGCTCCAACTTGGGAGCTTGGAAGTGATTTATATCCCCAGAAAAGTCAGCTCATCCAACAATCCAGCTGAAAGGCCTCACTGCTTTCCCTGGGATCCAACCTATGGGAAGCTCAGACCGTGCTGATGGATAATGAATTATCCCTTTTATTTCCATAATGATGTCACTGATTTTTAGTGGACAAAAGAATCTCATTCCATGGACTGTAGCAGTTATGGAGATGATTTGGTCAATGCTGACCATGAGAGTTTGGGATACCTTGGGGGGATCAGGGGAAAAGAGAAACACTTGGAGCTGTTATAAAAGTATATTGAAACAGGGATATAAGGAATACAGATGGAAATAGTGCAGATCAAATAAAGTCTGCAACAACTCAAATACTCTGCTTCATCCTTCCAGACAACTCCCTGTAGCTGCAGACAGAGAAGCCTGAGATAAGGAGGGAGCTGTGAGCCACATGTCCTGGTGCTCCCAGGCACTGCCCCGAGACTGCTGATCCACAGGGAGAGAGGAGAAGGAAAAGGAGACACCAGACTGTGTGGAGGCAGAGCAGAGGGAGGCAGTGGGGCCATACCTGCGCTGAGCAGCACGTTCCGCGCCGTCGGGTGCCAAGCCACGATCCCAACTCGCTTGGAATGGCCTTCTAACACCACCACTGGCTCTGTCAGGGACAGGGTGAGCCCGTTCTCAGGGATCTGCCACACCTGGGGGGGCAAGGAGAGGGTTAGAGGTCACCACCCCCTCTGCAGAGCTTCCTGCAGCCCGACACACGGCCCAGCTCCCACCTCTCCCTACAAACAGGAAGAGGGAATCATTCCCAGCTGCCTATAAACCCTTGGCTGATCCATGTGGAACATCCTTCCTCACTCCTGTGCCAGCACAGATCCCACCAGATCCTGGTGCTGCAACACCCTGTGGTCCAGAGACCTGTTCAGCTCCAATCCTGCCGAGGATGAGTTGGAAAATCATGGCTTGGAGCTGCAATTCCATGTGAACAAGCTGTTGTCTTTCCAAACTCTGCTTGTCCTTTGGAGAGTTGATACTACAGCTCTACCAGTGCCTGCTTTTATTTCTTTATAAACACCAGGAATTAGTTTTCCTGTTAGATTTAGTCTCCTTCCAGATCCCATTGGATCAGGGAAGAGCTGTTTGGTCCTGGCAGAGGTTAGAGCAGCCCAAATCCAAGTGGCAGAACCACTTGGTTTGCTTCTTGCCTGGTTACACAACCCTCCTGCTGCAAACATCCTCGGGGAAGGGCCGTCAGGAGGAGCACCAACCCCCCAGGGATGCCCAGGGCTCTGGAATTCCAGCTGTGGAGCACCAGGAGGCAGCACCGACGGAGGTTTCTGCAGCTGGCAGCGCCCAGGGATGGCACAGACAAACCCATCACTCCATGCCTCGAGGCGGGATCAGCCCGACCAAAACTATCCCTGCTGTCCAGCACTGGATAATCATCCTGGAGTTGAGTCTGCCCTCCACGGAGTGTGCTGGAAGCCCGAGTGGAATGACAGGGAGCGCAGCGGGAGCAGTGAGAGCCGCAGGAGGTAGATGGCAGCATCCGAGCGCTTTGTGCTGCTTCCCAGTGTTGGCTTTCCCTGGAGCTGCAGAGCGGAGCTTGCCAGCCCTGCCCACGGTGCCCAGGTAGCTGTGGGAGTCGGGAGATGCGAGGGAGTCGATTTGGGAAGTGAGGCAGACAGACTGCGGGAGGGACACGAGCACTGCTGCGCTAATCCCAGTTCTGCCCTTCTCCCAGGGATGGCTGGTGCTGGATAAATCCCACCAGGATGCTCAAGAGTCTGAAAATAACCCCCAAATGACTTCACTTTTCATGGATGCAGCTCTTGGTGTGCTCCTCCCAGCACCCTCAGCATCCCAGGAGGAATGACAACTGCAGGACAGCTCCTCAGCAGAGGATTCCTCTGCATGGGATGAACATGGTCACAGCCCCAAGAAGCTCAAGGAGCCTTTGGCCAATGCTCTCAGGCACAGGTGGATTTTTGGGGTGTCCTGTACAGGACCAGGAGGTGGATTGATAATCCTTGTGGGTCCCTTCCAGCAGAGGAGATTTCATGCTGGAGCAGCACAAGCTTCTGGGTCAAGAATGAGCTGTCCCAAGGCAGAGGCAGAGCAGCTCCAGCCAGGAAAGGAGGACCTGCAGGAAAGGGAGAGGGTCCCTGGGACCCTCAGTTCTGTTCTGCACTATCTCAGCCAGGAATGGCCCATGGATCCCTCTGAGCAAGTGCAGCAACACAGCAAAGGAACCAGAAACCTCCAGAGCCACGTGAGGCAGAAAGTGCAGAGGGTGGGAGGGGAAAGGGAGACAAAATACCACTGGAAAAGGTTTTTGAAAGCCTCTGGAGGACAGAGATTTGTTTCTGCAGAGAAAGCCCTGGTAGCTTACAGCAGCTGCAGAGCAGTGTAATCCTGGCAGATTACACACTATTGACCTAATAATCCTGCCTGGTACTGCAAGAAATAATACCTAAATGAGTGTGAAAGCTCAGGGGATGAGCCCAGGAGACTTGAGCCTTCCTTCCTGCTCAGGGTGGGAGCCTGGGCTCAGCCTGGATCAAGCTGGATTCATGGGGAAATCAAGGAGCTCTGGGTGCAGGACTCAGCCTGGCGATGGTGAGGACTCAGGAGAAGTCCAAGGAAACCTTAAACTGCTGCGGGATCAACTGAGCATCAGTAACAGCTCCATCAGCTGGGGGGTCTGGGGAGATTTGGGGGGTTTGAAGCTCTCCTGGCTGGTTTGTCTGTGCTGGAGGAAGTGAAGCCATGGCAGGTTTGGAGGAAGGGCAGGAGGGGAAGGTTTGCACAAACAGCATGTGAGAAAGAAAACAAAGCCAACTCTTTTCATCCCCTTTAAAGAGAAGCAAAATTTGTCTCTTCTGCCTCTGCACAACCTGCAGAGATTAAGTCAATGTCTAGAAACAACATCAAGTCCTATACACACCTTGAGTGAGGAACAAAGGAGTCTGAGTCTTGGATTTCTCCACATCCCTGCAGGAAGTTCTGCAGCTGTCAGACCTTCCCCTCAGCACAGTCCTGGTTCAGCCTGTCCTGGTGCCACATCTGCTCACAGGTTGGTGGCCCAGGTCACTGTGAGGGCTCTGCTTTCATCTTTCAAGCAATCTGCTCAAGCCCCTGAGCTCTGCTCTGGCCATGACACACGAGCTCCTTAGGATCCACCTCCTGATGAGGCAAAGTTTCCATATCTCAGGGCCTCTGATACCATCTCCAAGGCTTTCTGGACTAAAACACTTTCCAGCTGAATTAGAAGCCTGCAGTGCATTCCAGCCATTCAGCACAGCATCAAGCAGCAATATGTAAGTAATTCCTTATTGCTGGCACAAATTCTTCCAAGGGAAGAGGCCACAGAAGGTACCTGCAGGCCATGGGGGCTGAAGGAAGCTTTGTGAAGGATCTGTCCTAAGCTTTGCTCCTCATCTTTTCCTCCTCTACCTCCCAATGGTTCATGACTGCACTGCTGTGACAGCAGCACCAAGTTGTGTGTCACCTGAAGCTGTCACATCACACCTGCCAAGAGCTCTTCAGCAGCCAAATCTTGATGTAGCTGCAAAAAATCCTCTCCAAGCTGCAGAGCTGAGCAGCACCAGGAGAAGATGTCAGGTTTCTTCTTTTCCAGTCTCCTCTTTAGCCTCGTGTCTGATGATGTCCAACACTGCAGCAGCTCAAGGTTTAAGTGCAGCTCACAGGGTACTTCCACCTTCTACAGATCTGGGAATTGACTTAGAGGATGTTTCTAGCTTTTGGAAGGGCCAAGTTACCTTTCCTTGCACCACATGAAGGCTGCAGATAGCTCAGAGTTGTGGCTGCAGGGAACAAGTTCTCTTCACCTTGGAGACACTGGTTTGTACCTCAAAGCCATGATCTCTCCTTCAACAGCATCCCAAATCCATGTTCTCTCCCTCAATACCATCCCAAGTCCATGCTCCAGTCATCAACAGCATCTGAAATCCATGTTCTACCCCTCAACACCATCCCAAATCCATTTGCTTCCCAACATTCCAGGCCAGGGTTGTTGTTTACAGCCCAGCACAGTTCCCAGTTGTCCCAAATGATTTGGGATCCATCATTTCCCATTCTAAACCTCCAGCTAACACATCCCAAACACCTTTCAAACCATGAGCTGTATATTCTGATCCTTCAAACACAGCCAGGACCCACTGATTCACCTCCCACCCAGACAGGTCCCACCAGCAGGTCCATGACCATGAGTGTGTAAACTCCCAGCCAGCTCCTCCCTGGAGCCTGTCCACACACTGCTGCCCCCAGGGCTGGAGGAGAAGTTCATCCCTACTTTGGGGTGTGCACAGAACCCTGGTGAACCCACAGAGCTTGGGCAATTGTAGGCACAGATTCCCACAGGCTCTGTCCACATCAGGACCACTTGGACAACTTAGGACTGAGCACTGTTGGATTTTCTCCATCATTTAACTCCTCTGGAGCCTCCCAACATACTTCTCATTGCACTTGGACCAGAGCCTTCTTTTGCCTCCCAGAAGACAGCTCTGGACCTTCACTTCTCCTGCTGATGCTGTGCTTCCCAAACCTTCCTTTTTTTTTCCTGCATCCCTCCAAAGCTCAGTTCCAGCCCAGTAGTGAACATGACAAGCTCAGCAGCTGGTTGTTTTGTTTCGCATTAAATATAGCACATTTTGTTAACATGCTTCAGCTTCCAAGACTGGGAGATCACAGGCAGGAGCTGTCCCAGGAAAAGCCTCTTGGGATGAATCCCCTCCCAAACATCTGAACCATGAACAGAAGCAGAGGAATTTATCTGACAGGATCTAGACCAAGACTGCGATATAACATTCAGCCTAAAGCATGTCTAAATATGGCCAAAGAGCCCTGGAGGTATTTGGCATCATTTCATCCCACAAGGATTTTCTCTCCCTGACCCTGCTGTGTTTGCAGACAGAATTCCACATCCAGCCTGGGGTGAGGTTGGATATTGTTCCCTGGGAGTACAGTAGGCCTCAGGACTAAGGTTGGCAGGTGCAGAACTTGAATTCTTTTGATTTATTGATTAAAAAGGTTCTTTTGACACTTGCTCACAACATGGAGATACAGGAAGAACCTCACAGAGTCATCAAGGCTGGAGGAGACCTCTAAGATCATCAAGTCCAATCCTTAACCTGTCACTGCTGGAACCCCTAAACCATCTCCTCCAGCACCAGATCCACACACCCCTTAAACACCTCCAGGGATGGTGACTCCACCACCTCCCTGGGCAATATCCCAGTGCCTGAACACCCTCACAGGGAAATACATCAAGCATTCCCCTTGAATCAAGGGCTGAAGCAATCCTGACACCTGAAGGGCTCATTCCCTTGAATCCCAACCTCTTCCCAACACACACCACTGCATCCATCAGGAGAACTGAGGTAAGGAACCACCTGTCTTGTGGTGCTCTACAAATCAGAACATCTCACCACAGACTGGCACTTGTTCTTCTCCTTCTTCTTCCCAAACATCAAATCTCCAAGGGAAGGAGAAATGGAATTCCTCCTTGTGAGGGTGGTAAGACACCGGCACCGGTTGCACAGAGAAGCTGAGGCTGCTCCATCCCTAGGAGTGTTCCAGACCAGGCTGGATGGGGCTTGGAGCAACCTGGGCTAGTGGAAGGGGTCACTGCTCATGGTAGGAAGTTGGAACTAGATGATCTTTAAGGACATTCCAACCCAACCCATTCCATGATGACTCTGCCCTTGCAACAGGAAGTGTCCTCAGGAATCCAAGTGCCCTTTGGAACAGCATTTTAAGCATGGAACAAACCCCCCCAGAGAAGGGAAACCCACTCACCATGACAGTGCAGTCCTCGGAGCCGCTGGCGATGACCTGGTCGTTGTGGGGACACCAGTCGATGTCCAGCACTGGGCCCGTGTGGCCACACACTGTGGGGTAGGACTTGTCAATTCTGCCTGTCTGAAGGAGAGAAACAAGAGAGAGAGCTGTGAGACCCCAAAGGAAGATGCTTCTCCATCAGCTCTTTCAGTATCCATCACTTCATGGCATTTGAATCAACTCAGGGGTCAGTAAAGGAAACAAAGCACCAACTGTTCTCCAGCACCAACTAGGTGGATACTCCTCATGGAGCAAGAAGGTGTGGAGACACCAATTTTGCCATTGTCTACCTTCTGCTGATGGAGCTCCTGAAGCACCCGACCCTTCCCAACTGCTGCTGGAGCTGCCAAGGAGGAAGGGAAAGAAAAATCCCTCTAATTTCTCCTGGGCAAACCTTGCACACAAGGGAAGCAACATTTAAACTAGTGAAGACAGAGCAGGGTTATCAGGACACTCCTGTACCTCCAGGACCAGCTCCCTGGTCCTGTTCCAAGGGTTTTGTTTCCAGAGCCTTTCTAAGAATGATGGGAGAAGAGAGACAAGAGGGAGAGGTCTGGGATGGGTCATCTTCTTTGGTATCTAAACATGCAGAAGAAATGGTTGGAATTCCACTTGATAACATTCCCCAACCTTGGAGAAGACATTCCTTAATCCATGCCTCCTGCCCTGCTCCATGGGAGAGGCTGGTCCTAGTCCAGGCTGAATTACAGCAGAATTACCACGGATATTTGGAGGACAACTGACCTGAAGAGCTCTACGAGCAACAAACCAACGATCTCAAAAGTTCTCACTATTTCCTAAATGGCCAAATTGAGGTTTCAAACCTCAAAATTCACCTCAGTGATTCAACTGCTCTGGAAGTGCTGAACGTGGCTGGAAAGCCAGGAAGCTGACAGTCAGGAATGAAAGCTGTGTAATCCCTCTTGGATGCCACAATGGGAAATAGGATTACCAAATTAAATACACCAACTGACATGGATAATTCATCCATTTTCATTGATCTAATTAAAAAGAGAACCACGCAGAGCATATGTGCTTGGATGTGCTTCACATGACAGGCCAAGCACTCACACAGGCCCAAACCAGGAGGGAAAACAGAGCTAACAATGCAAAGGATCAGTCACTACCTGTTGTGGCTCCCCTGGCAGGCCCAGCCTGAGCCTCCAGGAGAAGCCTCTGGTGATTATTTGCAGGTTGCACAAGCACTTGTCACTTTAGTTTTAGGTTTTTATGCTCAGTAATTTCTGTGGAAAGGTGAAAAAAAAATAAATTCCATTTGAACAAATTAAAGCACAAACTTCACCTTTTGGGTTGGATCAGGATGAAGCTGCACAGCCTGAGCAGGAGCAGCACAGTCTGTGCCAGGCAGGGGAGCACAGGGCCCAGGAAGGCTCAGCACCTGCAATGGAGCTCAGTCCTTGACCCAAGGATCCTGGAATTCCATGGACAGCAGTGCCTAGAGAATCATGGAACGGTTTGGGCTGGAAGGGACTTGAAAGGTCACCTCATTTCACCCCCTGCCATGGGCAGGGACAACTTCCACCAGCCCAGGTTGCTCCAAGTCCTGTCCAACCTGGCCTGGAGTCTCACCTGAGCAGGGCAGAGAGGCACAATCCCCTCTGAGCACTCCCCCTTTCCTGCCTGCCTGAGGAGAGTGACACACAAACCCCATTTCCAGCAGGGAACAGACAGCCCGGATGGGAAAATGAGCTGTTATTTAGCAGGAGTGTGGGAGAGACAATAACTTGAAGCAACCTCGAGTGTGTTTACTCATAAAGACTCACCCAACCAAGCAAGCAGAGTACAAACAAGAGGGGGAGATGTCACACTGCCTGTGAACACAGCAGCTCCCTGGGGAGGAAGACAACGTCAGGGAGATGCACAGCTCTACACTAGGGCATGAGACAAGCAACAGCTGCTCACCAGGATCCTAAATAACCCCAGAATCATTCAGGTGGGGAAGGAGCTCCAAGATCAAGTCCAACCTGTGACCCATCACCACTTTGTCAGCTAGAGCAGAGCACTGAGTGCCATGTCTAACTGCTCCCTGAACAGCACCAAGGATGTCTAAAACCCAGTAAAATCAGAATAAATAAGGATGTGCTGAGCTGCTGGAGGCCCCAGATGGGTGAGCACAAGCCTCACCACTCTGTGAGAAGCTCCTGAGCTGTGGTCAGAGGCACAGAACTGTTAGTGCAGAGCAGAGGAAACCACAGAGCTCCTTCCTGAGCACGTCACGAGCAGGAGCTCTGCTCAGCAGTGCTGAACACACCTCAGCTGCTCCACCTCACCAAAAACACCCTGCCTGGAGAGTCTGACCCCCACAACGGCCTGGGGGGCCACCAAGGCATGGGAACCACATCACCCCCCCGGGCTGACCCCTCAGCAGGAGCACTGAGCAGGTTTCAGCTCAGATGTGCTATTTTCACCAGCTCTCTCTGTCCCATCACCTGAACCACAGGTTCCTCCCCCCTGCAGCATTCCCCTCTCTGGAGCAGGGAATCCTTATTCCTGGCATGCTGTGGGATTAGCTGTGCACACAAGAGCTTTCTAAGCAATATTTGGGAGGCTTTGCCAACAGGGAAAGACCTGCAGGAGGGTATTAAACCCCAGCAGGCTGTAAAATCACCCAGTTCCATGCTTCCAAACCCAATCCCTATCCCAGCAAACACCTCTGCCATGAGACTGGTGACTTGGCTGCCAACTGGGAGTGTTTTGCTGCTGCTCTAATACTCCCAGGTTTGGGGCTTTCCTTATTTATTTGTCAAATGTAATCTTTTAATTAGGGAAGGATTTGAAGTAAATCTCAAGTGTTGATACACAGCTTGAAATTAACTCGGGGTGACTCCAAGGAATTAAACTCTCCCCATAATCCAGTGGTGAGTGTGGTTAGGCAACACATCCCAGGAAGAACTTTGGAAATTTGGGAGGTGGATTCTATAAAACCTTGGTCCAAAAGGGGAATTTGAGGGTTGTGGATAAGTTGGTGTTGACTAGAAGCAAACTCAACACTCAGGTCCTTCAGCAGGTGATAAATTGGTATTGCTGAGTGATTTTTAGTGGTTTCTTGTATCTCAGAGCAGAAAAAAAAAAGGTGAAATAATCATGGCTGTTAAAGAAAAAAGATGAGAAGTTATTACTCATCCTGAAAGTGACAGAGAAGCCACACAGGAAAACTGTTCCTAAAAGTGGGAGTTTTAGGAATTAATTGGAGTGTCTTGTGATTGTTTCTGTGCCAGTAAAGGACACTTGGCTGCAGGAAACAGCTCCTGGATCATGGTGCAAATATCAGGGAGAGCAGCTGCTTCCCCCAGCACGGCTGTGAGGTCTCCTGGAAATTAGGGAAGTGCCATGGAGTTGCACAAGCCAAGCACCTCCTCCCCCTCCCTCTGCACGAGTTTGAGGAAGGAAATCAGGTCACAACTGCAAAGTTTCAAACACCAACTGACTGTACCTTGTCTCTGCTGGGGAAAACACTCCTTGTCTCTTTACATCCTCTACTGAACTGCCTCTTCTTTACATCTTCTTTACCAAGTTTCCCCCTCCCAGGGAGGGAAGTTGAATGTGCTCTGGTCACTGAGCCTCCACCACTGGCAGCAGCTGGTGGGAATGGAGGGATTTGGGAGCAAACCCTGCAGTGGGATGAAATGCAAGTCCCTGGCTCTGTTCTGCCCATGACAAACTGCCATTAGTCACCCCCCAGGGCCAAGAAAGTCATCCAGAGCTAATTATGGAATGTTACTCCCAAAAAATCTCCTGTAAAGTCATACAGAAACAGACCACAGTGACCCTGAGCTCTCCCCCAGCACTGCTCCTCATCCCTCTTCATCACCTTGACAGCTGCAGGGCTGTGACATGGGATAGCAGGAAAAAGTTCTTCATGGAAAGGGTTGGAAGAGGCTCTCCAGGTAGAGGTGGAGTCACCATCCCTGGAGATGTCAAAACACAAGTGGATGTGGCACTTCATGACGTGGTTTGGTGGCCATGGTGGGACTTGGTCAGAAGTTGGACTTGCTGACCTTGAAGGTCTTTTCCAACCTTAAGAATTCCACGATTCCAGCAGGTGAAATCCAAGACAAAATCCATCCACACTCCCCCTAGAGCGTCTGGAAGAGCCCAATGAAGCCACCATAGCAAAACCTCCTCCTTTCACTTCACACAGAGTATAGAAAGGGATGATTTTGATTTCCCAACCCCTCCTGCAGGAATGAGACTCTGGAAGAGCTGCTGAACGAGTCCCATCTGCCAGGCTTGAGCAGGAAGGCAAGTCACTTGCAGAACAGCATATTCCTTGGAGCAGATCACTCCCCCACCCACATGCTAATTGCCTC